AACCTTCTGCTACTTCTCCCAGCTTAGGGTTTGCAAATTTGTTTTTTGTTGTTGCTTGCTGTGGGTCTGTGGTTTCATGACAAAACTACGACAAAACCACAGAAATGTAGGTATCATCGTGGGAACTTTGTGGGTTTGGGACATGGATTGGGCAATTTTATGTCTGATTCAGTTTTGAAAATATGCCAAAAGATTATGCAAAACATAGGCAGCCAATCAATTTGTAGGATTGACTTTGATATTGGCATTGTTCAGTCAAAACCTTAGGGCAACAACACCTGAAATTAGTCCATTAAATATGAAAGAACTAATTGCAGTCTTTGACCTACCCATGGAACACTTAAAAAAATGTTCAACTCAAGATAAGAAATTTCAACATCCAATACATACAACAAATTTCCAAAACATGTAAATATCAAAGCAGATGCATACAAAACACATATACACAATCACAGTTTCTCATCAGAAATTACATTGATTTTTAAATATTCCAACATAAACACGTTAGTAAGTGTTTTTCTAGCATAGGTGAACTGTGGTACATACGTAGATTTTACTAACACAAGGAAAATACGTAAATCTACGTTAGTAAGTCCCAAAGTTTAAATAAGTGCGCGCACCTAAATTCACTAGCTTTGCGGACTTATGGTGGTTGTGGTGCAGCTATGTTTGGTCTAATGGTTTTCACTTGTGTGGGAAGATTTAGGAGAAAGGATTAGAGCTATTACTCCTGCAGTTGAAACACAACTTACCTCAAACTAGCCTTGTTTCTTGATGTTACTCATGCCATTGTTTTTGAGTTTGATTGACTTTGCAGCTTGTCACTTTGCTTGATTTTCTTGTGATGGCTTCTGTTCCTTCACATCAAACCACTTGTTCTTTTGAACAACCACCCGCACACACACACAAGTGATATTTTTTGAAAACAGCACAATATTTATAGAGAAACTCGTCAGATGAAGACACATAGCTGACTTGAGAACATCATGTGAATATACTAAAATAACAGAATTTCAATCAAAAAAAGCTCACTATGAAATTTAGGTTAATTTAGGTCGTAAAAAAATAGATCAATTTGTGCACCTTTTTTTTTGGGGGATTGCGTAAATCAAGGCCCTAAGTAAATTTACTAATTTCGGAGACTCAGGGTACATATATATATACATATATACATATATATATATGTGGTGGGATTTATGATGTGGTTTATGTAGGTAATGAGATTGGGCACCCACTGAGGCACCGAACTGTCGCAAAGACTGTTGCAAGGACCGATCGAGAAAAAAAAGTCCCTGTGCGGGACACTGCCTATACGGCAGACTAGCTACTGTTTGCAGCACCAGATCCTTAGTGGTCCTTAGTGATCCTTAGTCCAAGACTGTGTGCACATGAGCACTGTGATTGTATATACATATTTCCTCAGGGCATAAGTCCTGGTGAGATAATATAAGTATTATTGGTTTATATATATCTCTCTAGCACTGCATCTCTGCATGCGTTGTCTTTTTTGTTTGTTTATGTGCGTTTGTCCGTTTGGCTCTTGCAAATCTACCCATTTGCTATCTTTTTCTATCTGTCTGGATCATCTAGATTTGGCTATCTATCAGTTGATCTATCTATTGATCTATCTATAGTTTTATCTATCAGTCTATTGACCTATTTGAGAACACGGTTCATTAATATGAATATATATATATATACAGTATATTGTTCTATCTTTATCATCTAGTTATCATCAGTCTGTATTCCTATTGTCAAACTATCTGCAAGTCACCTATTTCTGTATCCAGCATCTATATACTTCAATTTCTACCTGTCTGTACATACTTCTCCCCATATTTTTTTGTTTGTGTGTGAGTCTGTCTTGTGCTTGTTTGTCTGTTGTTTTTTCCAAGGACCTAGGTCCTGGTAAGTATACGTATGATCCAAGGATATAAGTCGTGGTAAGTATACATATGATCCAAGGACGTAGGTCCTGGTAAGTATACATATGATCCAAGGGCATAAGTCCTGGTAAGTATACATATGATCCAAGGACGTAGGTCCTGGTAAGTATACATATGATCCAAGGACATAAGTCCTGGTAAGTATACATATGATCCAAGGACATAGGTCCTGGTAAGTACAGTATACATATGATCCAAGGACATAGGTCCTGGTAAGTACACTATACATATGATCCAAGGACATAGGTCCCGGTAAGTATACATATGATCCAAGGACGTAGGTCCTGGTAAGTATACATATGATCCAAGGACGTAGGTCCTGGTAAGTGTATGCATGATCCAAGGACAAAAGTCCTGGTAAGTATACATATGATCCAAGGACGTAGGTCCTGGTAAGTACAGTATACATATGATCCAAGGACATAGGTCCTGGTAAGTACAGTAAACATATGATCCAAGGACATAGGTCCTAGTAAGTACAGCATACATATGATCCAAGGACATAGGTCCTGGTAAGTATATGCATGATCCGAGGACATAAGTCCTGGTAAGTATACATATGATCCAAGGACATAGGTCCTGGTAAGTGTACTTATGGTACAAATACATCATGGAAGGCATACACATACTACTATGAAGATAATTGTGGATGTGTACAAATGCAGGTATACGCACAAAGGCTGCGATAACCGAATTCAAAAGAAACAAGAACTTTTGGATTCCAGATGATTCCAGAACTCAACAACTGCAAATGCCAGTTAGTTATACACTGCACAGTTGACTGCACTCTTGGTGAGCAAGTTTACTTTAAGTTTGGCACTCAAAGCTGAACACAGCGCAGTTGGGGCCCTGTGCTCAAGCACTGATTCTGCCCACTCCCCTCCTCTTAAAAAAGCCCTTGGAGAAGGAACCTCTTGAAATGACTTGTTATTGAAACTTTGTCCTGAATTCCAGAACTCAAAAAAAACAAATGCACGTGAGTGCACGAGAGTTAGAACGTAAATGAACAGTCAGTAAATATGCAAGACTGAGATCCAGGCCCCTCTGAGCCAACAAGGGGTCTAGGACACCTGAGAAGGAACACTGTCTTAAAAAATCATTGAGACTCTTTGCCACCTTCCCTGGAAATCTCTGACATTGGGAAACTCTTGAATTAGCAAACAGGTTTTGTACCAGAACTCAAGGAGCTGAAATCAAAAAGAGCTAAGTCAAGATTGAATGCACTCTTGGACATTTTTGGTGACTGTAGTAAGATCCCAAGGTGGCTATATGGGATAAATGGGGAATGCCAGAATGGTGAAATAAAACCTTGCTCTTCCCAACATAACTTATATTTAATGTATTTATGAAATGCTAGGATTTTTTTATCTTCATACACCACTTTCACATGAAGAAAGTCCTGGATTCCAGGACTAACCAACTTTAATAGGAAATGCCTTTAGGCACTGAAAGCTGGGCTCCAGACTCCTGCGCACAAGTAAAAGTGATCCCCTCCCCTCAAACCGTCTTGCAACATTACAGATCACATTTAGTTGATTTCATTTTTTCATAACAAAAAACTTGATTCCAGCACTTGACAGCTTCAAAGTGATCTCATGCACAGTTGAATGCACTCTTGGTGAACAAATTGTTTTTAGATTAAAAACCCGAAGCTGAACAATACAAAACTGAGGACCATGCTCCCGTGCTCAAGCAATGACTCTGCCCGCTCCCCTTCCCTCAAAATGTACAGAAGGAACCTCTTGAAATGACTGGACAATTTATTCAAACAGTTTCTCCATTCTGCAAATTAAGAACTTCAAATGCAAGTGAGTGCACGAGAGTTAAAACGTAATTGAATGCATCATTCCTTTTCCAATTGTGCAGTAGATACTTAAAAACTGAGATCCAGGCTCCTGTGAGCAAGCGAGGTGTCCAGGACACAGGAGAATGAACACTGACTAAAAGAAAAACATAGTTTTCATTGAGACTATTTGCCAAACCAGGATTTGTTTTACTATTGCTACAGGAAGTAGTTTACCAAAACAAAATTAACCTGCTAATGCACTGTATGAGGCTTCTAAGGGGGCTTTTAATGCAATTTTGCATGTCCTTGACATGGCAATGGGTGAATCCTGGAACCCAGGATTTTTGCATAGCAAATCGTTCTTTTTTCATACGAACATAAATTGTAAGGGGGGTAGAGTATTTTCCCATCATCTTGGCATTCCCCATTTACCCTGGGTATCTCACAATACAAATGCAAAACCCACCAACATATTCAAGTTTGACTTAGTTGTTTTTAAATTTAGCTCCCTGATTTCCAAAATCCACATATATATATATACGTGTGTATACACAACCTGCTTGCTAGTTCAAGAGTTTCCTAATGTCAGAGGTTTCCAGGGAAGGCCCAGGACTCCATAACTATGATGTTTGGTGGTTTTATGGTATGTTACATTTCTATGGATGCAATGTTGTGTAGATATATGTGTTCATGTGCGTTTTATTTTTCATGCATTAGTGCGTGAAGTCATGCGAGATGTATTACCTAGTTTGCCACTGAAATGTGACATCATGTTTATGATTACATGCATGTTTATAAGTGCATGCATGTTTATAATTACATCATGTCCACATCTCAACTGTCACTTCCTCATGAACAAACTGTCACTTCCAATGGCTGTGGATTCAAGACCTAAATCACATTATGTCATGTTTTGAATCATCACATGTTTTTTTTAACGCATGCATCATGGAGTTTGCAAGGGACACCCGACGTGCGACGTTACGGTCCGCGTTGGCTAACATATGTGTAGCAGCATTTTGGATATAGGTGGAAAAATAAGTTTCGTAAGTATTGTTGAGTGATTACATCGATTCGGTGAGAAAACGATCATATATAGCAAGCATGCAACGTAGCTATCATATATAGCAGGTACACGATGTCAACAAACAGCACGCATGGACACGATACAACCTTGCAACTGCGTATACTCGCAACGCGTACGTGCGACGTTCTGGTCCGCGCAAGCGTGGGTACGTGCGACGCTGCGGTCCGCGTAGGCTAGCGCCATGGAATCGTCGCTGTTCGAAGACCTTGTTTGTTTCTTGCAGAAAGAAGAGCTTGTGTTGAAGGCTTTGCGTGCCACGAATTTGAAAGCATGCTTGCGGACAGGGACAGGCACCAAAGGATACGAAGCAAATGCAGAGCGAGCCAAGTATTATAGAATTTACAATAAGATTGAGAAGTCAGTAACAGCTGACCAAAAAGCTACTCTAATGGATTGGGATCGAAGGCTTTGCAGTGAGGCGGAGGACATTGATTTTGCACGGTTGCTTGCCATATTTGCAAGCCGTGAAGAGGAGCTGAAGCAAATGAGAAAACCGAGCCTCGAAGCATGCTTCAACAGCAACCTGAGCAATGAAGACAAAGACTTAAAGTTTTGCCGAAATTTCTTCAAACGCAAAAAAACAAGTTGGACAGATGAACAGCAAAAGGTTGTGGATGAATGGGAGGAGAAGATTTGTGGCGATGGTGCGGGGTTATGTCCTGCCATCGATGCAGCTTTCACGCGTTTGCTGACTATACTGGAAAACCGTGAAGATGAATTGCGACAAATGCGAAAAACAAGTCTCGAAGCATGTTTCAACAGCAGCCTGGGCAATAGAGACAAGGACTTAAGGTTTTGCCAAAATTTCTTGAGGCGCAAAAAAGCAAGTATGACAGATGAACAGCAAAAGGTTGTGGATGAATGGGAGGAGAAAATTTGTGGCGATGGTGCGGGGTTATGTCCTGCCATCGATGCAGATTTCACGCGTTTGCTGACTATACTGGAAAACCGTGAAGATGAATTGCGACAAATGCGAAAAACAAGTCTCGAAGCATGTTTCAACAGCAGCCTGGGCAATAGAGACAAGGACTTAAGGTTTTGCCAAAATTTCTTGAGGCGCAAAAAAGCAAGTATGACAGATGAACAGCAAAAGGTTGTGGATGAATGGGAGGAGATTATTTGTGGCGATGGTGCGGGGTTATGTCCTGCCATCGATGCAGATTTCACGCGTTTGCTTACTATACTGGAAAACCGTGAAGATGACTTGCGACAGATGCGAAAAACAAGTCTCGAAGCATGTTTCCAGACACGTGTCAGCAATGCAGACAATGATCTTGGTTTTGGACGGAACTTTTTCCGTCGGCGGAAATATGTTGACGGATGAGCAGCACAAGGTTCTTGAGGACTGGTCTGCCAAGATTTGTTGCCATGAGCATGTTGATGATGGCTTTCGGCGCTTTCTTTCAACTTTGCATGCTCGAGCACAGGAGCTGTCTGCCTTGCGCAAATGTGACCTGAAAGGCATCTTTTCGTCCCATATTTGCAAAAAACATTCGGAGTTGAAATTTTGTCAAAACTTTTGGCGGCGCAACGCAGAAAAATTTAGTCCCGAGCAAGAGGAACAAGTGGAGGATTTGAAAGCAGGAATTCTTTGGCCTCATGCGCAAGACGATCGTGCGGCGTTGCGGCCCGCGGTTGTGAGGATGTTGGAGAAATTTGAAAACATACTTGCACGCAAAGGCGCAGATTTTCGCGGCTTTGGGGCTGCAAGTGTTGATGGTCTGTTTACCGGGCACGCGAAGAAATCTGATTGTGAGGTTAGATTTTGTTACGATTTTGTCAGCCGTGTGTTTCCCAAACTGGAAGATTCGGAGCAACAGCGACTTCGCATCAAACTGGATGACCTGTTGTTGAAAAGCTGCTCGGTGCCCGTGAAAAGCCGCATACGACTGGCTGGTATGGAAGGATAGAGCTGCTAGCTTTCTGCGGGCTCACCCTCGGGAAGTTGCGCTGCAACTCACTTGGGGTCAGCGACTGGTGGTTCCGGGAGCTCGTGAGGCATACGCAGTCGCAACCTATGAACGAGAGGCCATGGGTCGTAGCCTCGGCGCGGCGCCATGCAACTTGTGTGGATGCTGGACACATAGCTGGTGTGAAGCTTGCAAAACACGTCCGCCCACTGCAATTTGTTCGACGTGCGACGCGGCCAAACTCTTGTGTCAGTCTTGCACGTCGTGTCACCAGCTGGTTTACTCCGAGGCTTCACAGAAGCCACCATAGCAACGTCAATTCCTCCCGGAACTGGACGTGCGAAGTTGTGTTCCGCGTCCAGCATGGTCGAGACGGCGCTGGAGAGTCAGACAAGCACGGCGGCAAGTGTGCAGCCACCTGTGGTGAATGACTAGAACGCCAAAAGTTCAGATTGGGGCCATTGGAGAAAGCCGAAGTCTCTGGTACGCTTTGCGTCGCCACAGAACCGAAGCTCAGTGCGCAGAATGGCTCAACATCTTGCACAGCAACAGTACGTGGTATTGCCGCAGAGGGATCAATTCTCGTTTGACTGCCGAGGGCTGGGTGTGCGTTGTTGTGAACCGCATCCGAGTCTGAATTGCTGTGCTTCAGTAGCTTCGCCTTTCATTTCAAGTTGCAGACGGCAGAATGCCTGTGTCACTTCATTTTCGTTTCTGTGTGCGTTGTTACGAACCACACAAGAAACCATGATCGTATTGCATACATGTGACAAAAAAAAGGATCTTTCAGATTTTGGCTGCTTTCATTTTCGTGAAGGAAGCAGTGGGAAGTGTGAAGGAAGCAGTGGGAAGTGTGAAGTGTGAAGTGTGAAGTCTGAAGGAAGCAGTGGGAAGTGAGAAGTGTGGAGTGTGAAGTGTGGAGTGTGAAGACTTTGCTTCGTCTCTCGCTGAAAAAATCAAACGGTTGTCGAGGGAAGGACACGGTCGGGACAGGGTGTCCTTTGAACTATAGGTCATTTATTTTTGGGAAACTTCCGCCGCCGGCTTGCCCGGGTCTATGTTATTGCAAACAAAATGTTATGAAGGCTGAACACCACTCGCCATATTGTCAGCTGATGTCAGTTGACCCGTTGCGGGACAAGTTGCAGAACGTGCACGTCTGGAAAACGCTTTCTAAGGGCACCAAATCTACATCGCGAAAGCGCTCGGCTGCAATCCTTCCGTGTGGCATCCGTGGGCTTCAAGCACCAGCTACATAAGCTATCAAAATGGTACATTAGTAATGGGGTTTAATTTGTCTGGAAACTGGATGTCCTTCCCAAGAGTTGCTTACATAACCATGGCATGGGTTATACTAATGTTATACTATATAGAAGGGCTGGTGGATTTTGCTTTCAGAAACCAATCGGAAAACTGAAGCTGAGAACAACAAACACCAGTGAGCTGAGACTCTGGTAGCCGGAACACTTGCAACGACGCGTCTCTCCTTTCAACCTCAGCATGGTTTTCCGTTTTACATCAGCGGCGATGCATTGAAAAAAACTGGCATGGCAGCAAATGGCACCTGAAACACCATCGTTGCGTAAATTCGCTAGAAATTTGTTTTTAGCAACCGGAGGAGAAATTGAGACGGCTGAAAACCGTGGCAAAATCCACATGCATGCAGCTATATGCGCTAACTTAAAAGCAAGAAGAATTCCCCAACACTGCACGCTGTTCAATCATTTTTTCCAGCCGTTGGCACCAAGCGGCGCTTTGACTGTGTTGGGGCACTGGAGATGTTCAGAGCTCAAGGCTTTGAGACTTCTATCCTCCGTGGCATGTAAAGTCACGCCCCGGGTGCAGTTCGTGCAGGAAACGACCAAAGAGTCGATCTTGAATCTGTCCTGCCGCAACTTTGGTTCAACAAGTCGCTTCTGGTTTCCGCATATAGACTAAAACAATTAAAATAATATTATAGTGTCAGTGTCAAAGTGGTGAACTTTTTAAACTGCAACAAGAGTGTGATGGGGGAACCTATCACCAAATCCCTTCCAGTCCACTCTCCTCGCCCAAGACGCACGAAGTCCTTGAGCACCTTATGTTTTCTCCACCATGGCGTAGCCGGTGTTGGCTGCTTGAACCCACCCTTGAGACACGGCGGTGGCACAAGGATGAATTGATATGTGCAAAAGTGGAAGTGCCATGTTCATGTTACACTTCTCGATTTGTGCATTGTGAAATGGTGCTGCATGCCAACTCCATGGATCCTTAGGATTTCAGGAGGAAATTCACACAGGGGGAAAAGTGTTTGGCAAATGCAGCAGCTTGAAACACTGAAAAAAAACTGTCACACCGGCAGTCCGCCAGTTTCATCTATCACCCTTTGGGCGCAATAGCGGCACATCATCTCTCTCACTTGCGGATCGCTTTGCATCAGGCTTTGGCACTCTCTATGTGTGTGCCACTTGTCACCATGTCGTGTGAACCAACAGGGCCAATTCATCATCAGTCTGGCTCGTTGACGATAGTGATTTCGCTCGATCTGAGCTTGGTTTCTCTCTTCGGCAGCATTTCGGGATTGATCGCGCCAGACCACAGTCTCAGCTTCATACCATGCCATTTGGCGCTCATAGGACGCCTTCTGCTCATCCAGCTCCACGCCAAGTGCGTAGATCTTGTGGTTCAAATCATCCATGATTTCCAGCTGATCCAGGATATCTTGTCTCAGCTCGGCAATCTGCTGGTTGAGGGCAGTAACGGCTGGATTGTCTTCAGCAGCGGGGTCGGCAGCAGCTGGTGCTTCGACTTGAGTCGTTGCGTCAGCTCGATCAGGTTGATCCCGTCGGCAGCGGCACCACCATTTGCAAAAGATCACATAGAAGCCAGCAAGGATCGCCAGGACCGTTATGACCAGGGCAATGTCAGGCATGACGTTGTTGGCATACTCAGAGTCATCATTGGTGTCCGGGGCTGCATGGATCTTTGTGACTCGGTCAAAGGCAATGACTGTAGCAATGCGCTCGGCCACCTTTGACATTCCAGAAGGTTGCAAGTTGGTGTTGCTGTTGGGCTTCTGGAAAGCTTCTGGTTGATCTTTTTCTCGCTGAATTTTGTCCTTCTTCTTGGCTGCGGTGAACTTCTCATCCATCACAAGGCTCAGGTATCCACTCCGCAGCATGTCAACCAGGGCTTGTCTGGCATGGATCTTGGTCATGCCGTCAGCAAGCATTCGCTCTGAACTCACCCATTTAAGTTGGGTTTTCTGTCTGACCAGCTCCTCCTTGATGCACATGATTTCAATTCCAGCACGCTTGTCAAGTGAACTGTTGATGCCGTCCTTGTTGATTGCATCATAGAGTCCTTTGGCATCAATGACAATTGCTGAAGAACAGATGTCAGCAGCTGTTGAGTCTTGACGAGGGTCTGCATCATGGTATCGCATCAAGGCAAGCATAGTCTTGACCATCATGAGTTCATCCAAGGCTGTAGCGCACGATTGAGCTTCGGCGCTCAAACTCGATCTGCAAACTCTAGGCAGCTTGTAGGATCTCCAGGCTACAATGGAGTAGGGCACAGATTTGCCTTCCAAAACCTTGGTGTTGGTCAAAATGATGACAAAACCACCTTGAGAGCTAGAGTCAGCTCGAACTTGCACAGCAGCATCTGAAAAACATAAAAGACACATTTCGCTCCAATCTCCACAGACTGGGCGCATTGTCAGTTTGAGATCTGCAGAGTTCTTGGCAAAACGAAGGGTCTTGTTGAGCTCGTGCAGCAAGTCCACAGTGCCTTTGTTGATGTTGGCTGCAATGATTGAAGTTGATGCGTTGAGTTGCAAGCAAGCTTGGCCGGCAGGCCATTGGAGCGCACCAATCAGGCCACGTGCCTTTGAGGTTTCTTGAGGTGCTAAAGGTTGGTCTTTTCCACGGCCTTTTGCAATTGTGATTGGCAGCACTTTCTTGAGGTAGGCTTCAAAGTCCAATGAGAGGCCATCCTCAGTCTTGTTGATGTGACCACCACAATAAACAAGTTGCTTGTCAACGTCAAGGCTTTGCCACTTGCCAAAGTCAAAGCAGGTGCGAAGACGTTGGATTAATGCTTCAGCTTCTGGGTCTTGCATGTTGGCTCCTAGCAGCAAATCATCAACATGTAAAATCAACATCACGCAAAGTGCGTTGTTCTTGTTGTAGAGCATGTAACAGCACTTGTCAAGCTTGTGTCGTTTCAGACCTGTGCTTCTCAGTCGCCGGTCGGCTTCACGCCACCATAAGAGCGGTGCATCGCTCAAGCCATAGGCAGACTTGTTCATTTTCATGTAGGTGACACCTTGGCAACCAAGTAAAGCACTGCAATCACGTGGGAGCTTGACAATGATGTTGCGTTTGAACTCAGCTCCTGAGAGAAAAGCACAGCGCACGTCGCCACAAAACAAAGTCCACCCAAAAATTGGTACACGTGCAAGAAGCAGCATCTTGGAGGATTTTGATGCCGTAGGCGATGTTTTCTCCAGGTTGAAGAGATCAGGGTCTTCAAAACCTCTGAGGACCAAACGGGCTTTTGCTCGTCGTTGTAGTGAAGGTGGTTGACCTTCTTGAGGTTCAGGTTTCTTCCATGTAAGAACCCAACGAGCAGTGACAACTCGGTCAGCTTCGTTCTTGCCAATCTCGGTGAAAGTCCAAACCTTGTTGGCAAAGTAGGAGGTGAGCTCCTTCTGTTTGGCCTCAATCATTTGCTCTTTCTCAGCTAAAGTCATGGCTCGTTCGGAGGCTTCATTCTTCCGAACTCCAAGATTGGTCAGATAGACCGCGTCCAGCTCAAAGTTACCATCAATCAAAACCCAATCCTTCGGAAAGGACTTGTCGTCAATCTCAGTGACATAGGCTTCGTCCACAATGAGCTCGTTGTCACTGGGCTCTGGGACAGGAGTGTTGATGGCAATGCGTGCTCGTTTCTCAAGAGGTTGAGCAGCATCAGCTGGAGAGTTACTGTGACTTTCAGTTGGGCCAGGCTCAGGCTCAGCCACAGAGTCTAATCTTGGTCGTTGTGAACTTGGTTCAGGAAGTTCAAGTCCAGCTTCTTCAGCATCTCGTCGTCGATGCTGATACAGCAATGAAGGACCATCAGTCTCCATGTTTTCAGCAGCAACATTGTCAGGGGCGATGCTTGGCTCGTATTGTTCGCTTTGTTGCCCATCTGCTGCAGCTTGTTGAGGGCCATGTTGAGGGCCATCAAGACCTTCTTCTTCAAGTAGATCTTCAACTCCAGCTTCAGGTTCAATGACATCCCTGAACTGAGTTGTACTGCGAGCTCGTAGTTCTTGAAGATCATGTAAAGCAGCTTGAACATCCACTGGGATTTCTGACCCAATGTCTTCAATTCGTGGTCGTACTTGATGAGGAGCGCATCGAAGAAGTGAGGTGCCATGACAAATCCAAAGCACAAGTTGATGTCCATTGTCATCCAACTCCTCAGCAACGCAGCGACATGTACCTCTCCATTTGTTCTTTTGGAGGATGCCCGTGCCTTGAAGTCTCCAGTAGTAGCATGGTTGACCTACCACTACCTTATTCTTGACTTCCTTGTAGTTCTGCATCATGGCACGGCGCAATCTGAGGTCAGTGTCGGCCTTCAGAAATGCCGTTTGAGCTGCAAGTCGTTTCTGCTGCACATGACTGAAGTCAGTGTGGTCAGTCATGGAGACAGCGCCAGGATTGAAGAGGTCGGCTGTCAGGCTGTGAGCATCAGCAGAAGATCTTCCAAGAACCCACTGGGCAGGCGTATAGCCGTTGGTATAGTTCAGGTTGTTGATCTGGCCAGGGCAGTAGATGGCAGCTTCAAGCAAAGTCTTTTTGGTACGTTCGCCCTTTTCATCCATGTAAAGCTCAAGTGTTCTGCGGACCACTTGGTGTCGGCGCTCAATTGCACCAATCCAGTTGTGAGCTTCCGCAGGAGCAACTTCAAGGGCAACTCCATGTTCAGAACACCATTCACGAAGATGTTGAGCTGCAAAACCTTTGGCTTCATCGATCCGCAGGATCTTTGGCAAAGAGAAATGTTTGATCCATCCACGTTCAAGGCCTTTTACCAGGTCAACTGATTTCTCGCTCTTCATGATTCTGAGCGCAACATAGCGTGTTGCATGATCCATCATGACCATCACACATACTCTGCCATCATCAGTGTCAACCCACGTTGTGTCAGCCATGAGTCTGTCGCCAAATGTTCTTGCCGTAAGTCCAGAGGCAGGAGGAACACCGGCAGGAGGTTTTCGCTCATGACATTTGGGGCAGATGTACTCTTTGGCTGCTTTGAGCACATCAGATGTGGCTTGAACTTCGGTCAGCATGCGTTGAAGAACTTCAGGAGAAGGGTGACCTAAGTTCTTGTGAAGACGTGCCACATAGGAAAACACTTGACTGCCAACTTCAGCTTTCAGAGCTTTGTTCTTGGTGACATTCTCAGAGGGTTCCGGTGCCAAGTCCAAGTCCACAGCACCTTGTTGAGGAACCTCAGGTGATAAGTCCAAATCACCATGTGCTAAGTCCAGAGCACCTGCAGAGTCAGCGTCCTCTGCGGCCATGACAAAGTCACCATCAGTTGGAACCATCATCGCATTGGCCAAGGCTTCAGCTAGAGCTTGAGGATAGCTCTCAGCAGCTTTTGATCTTGGACCGCCACCACCAGGAATGTTGCCTTCCAAGGGGACATGGTTGTGGTCTCCTGGACATGGGGCTTCAAGAGCAACTTTCATGTTGTACCTGGTTGTGCGAAAATATGTTGGCTTCTTCACAGGTCCAAGTTGGCCATGCTTGTCAGGAAGTTGGAGTCCATATTGGCATTGGTCGACATAAACGTCATAGCTACCAGGCTCGATCTTTTTGAGAGCTTTGGTTGACCAAGCTCGGCTTGGCCATGGATGCTCCAAGGTTGCATTGCGACCATTTCGTTGTTGTTCTGCATAGGCTACCGCACACATGGTCAAGATCGTGTCGTGGTTGATCTTGCGGTCTTTGATGAGCTTGTTGCGGTACTCATCATTGTTGGCGCAAGTCAGTTCTTGCAGTGGAGACCATAGGCGGCACATTGGGGCCATCAGAACATCATCTGGTTGTTCTTCTCGAAGTCGTGACAAGAAGCGTTTGCGATCAGCAGCTTTCTCAAAGTCCCAGCCAGTGCACAGAGAGAAGACCTCCACAAGCACGTTGTCATACTTTTTGAGGTAGTGGGATGTGCGGCCAGCTCCAACAAAAACTTCCCAAATCACATGAGGCTTGGAGGAGTCCTTGTTGAGGCTTTTGCTGGTGTAGAGAATCTTGTCAAGGTCCTGAACTTTCAGCTTCAGGTTGGTTTCCATCTTGCGCAGCACATGCTGTTGCAATCGCATCACGTGACCATAGGGCTTTTCAGTCTCATGGTCAATACCATCCTTCGCAGGATGTGTGTTGCACTGTTTCGCATCGTCGCGGTGCCGTGACATCTCCTTGTCGTTGATGTCCACGATGTCCACTGCAGTCATGACATCCTCGGTACTTTCCTTCAAAAACGTTTGTATTGGGACCTGTTGACCGATGTGGTCATCGATATCTTCAGGCATGAGGACCATGTCAGGTTCTCGTTGGCGACAGGCATGTAGATCTTGTCCAAGATGTAGGATGTACTCACCCTTTGGACCACGTGGGGCAGTCTCCCATTCTTGGCTGGGCCATCGCATCAGTTGCTTGTTGTAGTCCACAGTGAGACCAAGTTTCTCCAAGAGAGGACGTCCAATCAGAATTGGGGCAGCTCCTTGGATCACGTAGGTCAGCACATCGATGCGTCGACCACCAAGAAACATCGGCAGGAGGATGCATCTGTTGGTCACTTCTTTCATGCTGTTGCCGTACTTGAACCCTTTCTCACATTCAAAGACGGGTATCTCATGGATGCCAAAGCCATTCTCCAGCAGGAAGGTCAGATACTTTCTGATTTGTCTGGCACTTCCCAGGACGGAGGATGCTCCACCATCTTGAACTGCGACATCTTCACCAGTTTCATCGTCATCATCATCCAAGTTGTAGACACCTTCAGTGGCATAGGTCTCGACCATGTTGATGGCGTCATCATCATCAACTTTGCGTTTGCGGTCAGCACTCGCCGTCGGGCAGTTTCTCGCCATGTGACCAGGTTGACCACAGCGCAAGCACAACTTTTTGCCATATCCAGCAGCATTGGCGCGGCCTTTTGGATCTGGAGAGGCTCGCTTCGGCTTGTGAGGCAGCTGTTTGGACTTCCCTTTACCTTTTTGACTTCTGGTTGGAGATTTACCCTTCTTACCACCATCGTAGTTTTGGGGCTTTTCTACAACAGCTACAACAGGATAAAAACCTCGGGCTGTCCTGAGAGCATTCAGCTTGCCACGTGCTTCAGCATAGTTGGCGTAGATCTCATCAAACTCTTCCACATCGAAAACTTGCTCATGGTTGGAGGCAGTTGCACCATCATCGTAGTACTCTTGGCCGTCATCAGCCCATGCAACATCATCCATGTCATCTTCATCCATGTAGTGGACTGAGTCGTCATACTCAGCCTCATAGTCCCAACCATCATCATCATCGTTGTAGTAGATCTTGTTCACTTTGCCCCATCGGGCAGCAGTGGAAGGCTCGAGTTTGGAGTCTTGGCCAAGGATGAAGCTCATAGCCTTTTGAACTTCTTCCAATGTCAATCCAGCCGTTCCAATGTGTGTGAGGATCAGCTGTCTTTGCTCTTTTGTGATTCCACTTTTGCGCAGGAACCACCGGGCTTTCACCTTTTCAGGCAAGGTGATGCTGTGTGTCACTTGTAGGCGTCGTTCAGCTCTGGTGAACTCAGTCATGTAGTCCTGCAGCGTCTGATTGCTGCGGCGTTGCAGCTTCATGAAGAACTGCTCGAAGTCATCGGGCAGCTCAGTCAGTGGATCATATCGGAACCCACCATCCAGTCTTCGGAAGACTTCATCATAGGCACCTGCGGCGGACATTTTCTCCATGCTCATGTCCTCCACTAGATCCCAGGCTTTTCCAGTGAGCATGGTCACCAGGTTGTAGACAACCTCGGAACCACGGTTTCCTAGGTCCATCTTCTTCTTGTATATTTCAGCTCGTTTCCGGAATTCCCGGTAGTCCTTCTGCACATTGTTGAAGGTTGGCACGTAGTTGTCAAGCCTTGCAGTGTTAACCGCTTGGCTTCCTTCGCCAGTTTGTGCACCCCCAGCGCTAGCACTCGCAGCGCCTTGCCCTGGACCATTCTGTCCCTGCTTGGGTGCCATCACACCACGCGTCAGCTCCACAGGCTCCGCTACCAACAACAAGAGTGTGATGGGGGAACCTATCACCAAATCCCTTCCAGTCCACTCTCCTCGCCCAAGACGCACGAAGTCCTTGAGCACCTTATGTTTTCTCCACCATGGCGTAGCCGGTGTTGGCTGCTTGAACCCACCCTTGAGACACGGCGGTGGCACAAGGATGAATTGATATGTGCAAAAGTGGAAGTGCCATGTTCATGTTACTCTTCTCGATTTGTGCATTGTGAAATGGTGCTGCATGCCAACTCCATGGATCCTTAGGATTTCAGGAGGAAATTCACAAACTGTATTTAAATGTATTTCACACATGCCAACCCACCAGAATTTCCAAAACCACATGGAGTGGATCGATGTGCAAACACCGAATGCAAAAGCAAACCAGAAGGGCAGAGCCACTATTCGAAAAGCGATAAAAGAACGGTCAAAAGCGGGAGATCCAAAATTACCGCGCAGATTGCAAAAACACTCACTTCATGTTGTATGCATATTATTTGATGTGTGGGAAGAACCTACCGTGACGTCGGCTTGCAGATCTGGCGCTGTCTGGCGCTGCACTCATCTGGCACCCTGAGCCCGTCCTTGGCAGCCAGGACCTGCATATTGTTGACCGGTGGTTTGTACTCGACGCTCACTTGGTCAACCACCACGTAGCTTGGGCGAGTGCTGAGCAACGCGCTGGACCAGGAGTGCAGGTGGATGCCCGAGAGACGTACCTCCTCCTCCTTCGGGCAGGCTGCAAGGGAAAGAAAACCCGAACTCAAGCGGCCACTGGCGTTGAGGGCTGCATCCTCTGCAACATGGAAGGTGCTGTTTGAGCAATGGGCAGAGCACCCACTGTTTTGAAGCTCCACCCCATGGCCACCGGCGACATCTTCAAAGAGCATGTGTGACCGATCAAGCATGTGGAAGCAACCTGCAAAGAGGACGCTGGAAGTGTCGGGACCTTGGGCATGCTTCACCACCCCTTTGGCATGCTTCACCACCAAAGTAGACTGTGCTGAAAGAAGCACTTGACCATCTGCATGACCTCCGGAGCCTGATCCCAGTGCAGTGGAGTTGCTGATGGACATCGAACTTGCGTGCAGACTCAAAGCAATCACAGCAAAAGCACCACCATTTGCCCCCGCATAGGTGCTGAACATGTCCACTGTAGATGCCTTGATAACTACTCGTCCTGTGGCCAAAAACCCTCCACCAAGCTGCCGGGCCCTGGCATCTTGAATGCTAAGTGTGGACGTGCTGATCAAGGTCTCGCCTTTGGCGTAGAATCCTCCTCCTCCGTCCTGTGCTTCCGCATTCCGAATAGTCAGTCTTGAGCCAGTGGACACATTCAAGCCCTTTTCAATGTAACAGCCTCCCCCATATCCTGATTCAGCACGACTGTTGGATATGTTGACTGTCGAGTTCCCAGCTATCTCAACCTCTCCAAGGGAAACAAAAGCTCCTCCATGGCTTCCGGCGGTCACGTCCTCAAGGTTGAGAAATGAGCCGTCGGTCACCTGTAGGCGTCCACTTTGGAAGCCCCCACTCTGTTTTCCAGCTTTCGCATTCCGAATGATGAGTCTTGAGCCGGTGGACACATTCAAGCCCTCTCCAGTGCGAAAGGCTCCTCCATGCTCTCCAGCTTCCGCATTCCAAATGACGAGTCTTGAACCAGTGGACACATTCAAGCCCTTTTGAATGTAACAGCCTCCCCCATCTCCTGATTTAGCACGACTATTGGATATCTTGACTGTCGAGTTCCCAGCTATCTCAACCTCTCCACGGGAAACAATAAAAGCTCCTCCGATGCTTCCGGTGGTCACGTCCTCAAGGTTGAGAAATGCGCCGTTGGTCACCTGTAGGCGCCCTTTCGTCTGGAAGCCTCCACCCTGCCTTCCTGAACTTGACCTTGAAATGCTCATAGTGGAACTGCTGATCAAAGTTCTACCGTGCACGTAGAATCCTCCTCCATACTGTCCAGCTTTCGCATTCCGAATGATGAGTCTTGAGCCAGTGGACACATGCAAGTGTTCATTGGCTAGGAAGCCTCCACCCTGTTTTGCTCTTGAACTGAAAATGCTAACATTTGACATCCTGTCAATGACAATCTCATCATTTGCAATGAATCCTCCTCCATTCTGCTGGGCTGTGGCATCTTGAATGCTAAGGGTGGAACTGCTGATCACGATCCTGCCTTGGGCATAACAACCTCCTCCATCCTGTGCTTCCGCATTCCGAATAGTCAGTCTTGAGCCAGTGGACACATTCAAGCCCTTTTGACTGTAACAGCCTCCCCCCTCTCCTGATTCAGCACGACTGTTGGATATGTTGACTGTCGAGTTCCCAGCTATCTCAACCTCTCCAAGGGAAACAAAAGCTCCTCCATGGCTTCTGGCGGTCACGTTCTCGAGGTTGAGAAATGAGCCGTCGGTCACCTGTAGGCGCCCTTTCGTCTGGAAGCCTCCACCCTGTTCTGCTATTGAACTGAAAATGCTAACATTTGACATCCTGTCAATGACAATTTCATCATATGCATACAACCCTCCACCAAGCTGCTGGGCTGTGGCATCTTGAATGCTAAGGGTGGAACTGCTGATCACGATCCTGCCTTGGGCATAACAACCTCCTCCATCCTGTGCTTCCGCATTCCGAATAGTCAGTCTTGAGCCAGTGGACACATTCAAGCCCTTTTGACTGTAACAGCCTCCCCCATCTCCTGATTCAGCACGACTGCTGGATATGTTGGCTGTCGAGTTCCCAGCTATCTCAACCTCTCCAAGGGAAACAAAAGCTCCTCCATGGCTTCTGGCGGCCACGTTCTCAAGGTTGAGAAATGAGCCGTCGGTCACCTCCACGTAGCTATTCGTGTGGAAGCCTCCACCCTGTTCTGCTATTGAACTGAAAATGCTAACATCTGACATCCTGTCAATGACAATTTCATCATATGCATACAACCCTCCACCAAGCTGCTGGGCTGTGGCATCTTGAATGCTAAGGGTGGAACTGCTGATCACGATCCTGCCTTGGGCATTACAACCCCCCCCATGTCCTGATTCAGCACGACTGTTGGATATGTTGACTGTCGAGTTCCCAGCTATCTCAACCTCTCCAATGGCACTGAAACCTCCTCCGCTGCTTCCGGCGGTCACGTTCTCAAGGTTGAGAAATGAGCCGTCGGTCACCTCCACGTAGCTATCCGTGTGGAATCCTCCGCCCTGTTTTGCCGATGAATTGGAAATTCTGACAGTTGACATCCCGTCAATCACAACCTCAACTGCGAGGAAACCTCCACCAGCGTGCTGGGCTGTGGTATGTTGGATGTTCACTGTGGCGCTGTTGATCAGCGTCTTGTTTTTCGCAAGGAATCCTCCTCCGTTATTTCCAGCTTCTGCATTCCAAATGACGAGTCTTGAGCCAGTGGACACATTCAAGCCCTTGTGAATGTAACAGCCTCCCCCATCTCCTGATTCAGCACGACTGTTGGATATGTTGACTGTCGAGTTCCCAGCTATCTCAACCTCTCCAAGGGCATTGAAACCTCCTCCATGGCTTCCGGCGGTCACGTCCTCAAGGTTGAGAAATGAGCCGTCGGTCACCTCCACGTAGCTATTCGTGTGGAAGCCTCCACCCTGTTCTGCTATTGAACTGAAAATGCTAACATTTGACATCCTGTCAATAACAACCTCATCAGATGTACAAAACCCTCCTCCATGCTGCTGGGCTGTGGCATCTTGAATGCTAAGGGTGGAACTGCTGATCACGATCCTGCCTTGGGCATAACAACCTCCTCCATCCTGTGCTTCCGCATTCCGAATAGTCAGTCTTGAGCCAGTGGACACATTCAAGCCCTTTTGACTGTAACAGCCTCCCCCATCTCCTGATTCAGCACGACTGCTGGATATGTTGACTGTCGAGTTCCCAGCTATCTCAACCTCTCCAAGGGAAACAAAAGCTCCTCCATGGCTTCTGGCGGCCACGTTCTCAAGGTTGAGAAATGAGCCGTCGGTCACCTCCACGTAGCTATTCGTGTGGAAGCCTCCACCCTGTTCTGCTATTGAACTGAAAATGCTAACATCTGACATCCTGTCAATGACAATTTCATCATATGCATACAACCCTCCACCAAGCTGCTGGGCTGTGGCATCTTGAATGCTAAGGGTGGAACTGCTGATCACGATCCTGCCTTGGGCATAACAACCTCCCCCATGTCCTGATTCAGCACGACTGTTGGATATGTTGACTGTCGAGTTCCCAGCTATCTCAACCTCTCCAATGGCACTGAAACCTCCTCCGCTGCTTCCGGCGGTCACGTCCTCAAGGTTGAGAAATGAGCCGTCGGTCACCTCCACGTAGCTATTCGTGTGGAAGCCTCCACCCTGTTCTGCTATTGAACTGAAAATGCTAACATTTGACATCCTGTCAATAACAACCTCATCAGATGTACAAAACCCTCCTCCATGCTGCTGGGCTGTGGCATCTTGAATGCTAAGGGTGGAACTGCTGATCACGATCCTGCCTTGGGCACAACAACCTCCTCCATGCTGTGCTTCCGCATTCCGAATAGTCAGTCTTGAGCCAGTGGACACATTCAAGCCCTTTTGACTGTAACAGCCTCCCCCATCTCCTGATTCAGCACGACTGCTGGATATGTTGACTGTCGAGTTCCCAGCTATCTCAACCTCTCCAAGGGAAACAAAAGCTCCTCCATGGCTTCTGGCGGCCACGTTCTCAAGGTTGAGAAATGAGCCGTCGGTCACCTCCACGTAGCTATTCGTGTGGAAGCCTCCACCCTGTTCTGCTATTGAACTGAAAATGCTAACATTCGACATCCTGTCAATGACAATTTCATCATATGCATACAACCCTCCACCAAGCTGCTGGGCTGTGGCATCTTGAATGCTAAGGGTGGAACTGCTGATCACGATCCTGCCTTGGGCACAACAACCTCCTCCATGCTGTCCAGCTTCCGCATTCCAAATGAT